TATTCTCTTGGAGTATTTATTTTTAAGTTATATATATCTARTGTCTATACATATAGCTATCTTGAATTTTCTTGGCTAAAATGAACGGTGGCCCGCGCTTTTTGAAATGACAACCTTTAGCACTTTAGCTACTAAAATACTTAAGACGGAGCCTCAGCTGCTGAACTATTTATAGTAAATCCTGTCAATACTTTCAGTATTAATGTTTCATATGAATAAAACGTTATTGAAAACGAAATGTTATAGGAAAACAGTTTTTTTTTTTTTATAAAATAACATTGTTTTCAAAATGCTAAATTTATTATTACTTACTTTGTAGTATGTATACATATTRGATATAAGTATATAATGTCATATTTCATGGATTTATGTTATATGTTTTGAAGGTAGGAATTCGTCAAAAAATTTGTTATCTGTAGGTATACTAAAAAGTATAAACTATAAATTACAAAAAATACAACTACCTATAATATCAGTCAGTTAAAACTTAGAAATAATATAATATAATACAACAATGAACACTTATTAAGTAAATTATAAATACGTGTCACTTCCTGTTTATTAATTATTCTTGTGTCTCAACATCACGTACCTAGTGTACCAGTGTGTCTAATATATTATATATAGGTAATAGGTACAGTATAGGTAGTGTAGGACGTAGGTCGTAGGTATATGTATAGTAATTATTGTATATAATACTCGTAGGTTTGTTATATATTTATATATTTTGTAAGCAATTTTTTTTAAATATTAACATTTTTGTACAATTTGAATACTTATAAATGAAGACACTAGAATTAAAATTATGCATTTTCATTTGCCTAAGTATTGGTATCGGAGYGCACACGAAAATAGTAGCTGTAACTGACTAATATTATTCTATGAGAAAAAAATGATTAAAACGGGACAAACCATTGTCTATTACACTCAATTATACGTAGGTACAACGTTCCTATCTGAAATGGGTAAAATGTGATTGGTTGGAATAAAAATATTTAAAAA